TCATGGAACAATTTGGGTTGGAAGGGACTTTAAAGATCATCCAGTGCCACCCCTGCCATGGGCAGGGACACCTTCCACCAGCCCAGGTTGCTCCAACCTGGCCTTGGACACTTCCAGGGATCCAGGGGCAGCCACAGCTTCTCTGGGAATTTCTTCCCAGCCTCTCCTCACCCTCCCAGCCAGGAACTCCTTCCCAATATCCCATCTAAACCTACTTTCCCAGCTTAAAGCATTCCCGTTGCTCCACCACTACAGGAAGGAGCCAGCCCAGACAGTCGTGTTCACACTGGAATTGCTCCAGTGAATTTGGAAAGCACTTTAGGTAATAATTAAAGATCACATCCATCTCTCTGGCAGAAGATGAGGGAAATAAAACAGGGCCACAAGACTCATCAGTTCTCCAAAAACTGCTGAGACTTTCCTTTGAGTTGAGAGTCATAAAGGAAAAACATTCAGGACTTGAGAAACCTGTAATCAAAATTTTGCATCTTTGGGTTCTGCTGGTACTGCTGTGGCTGAAAAATAGGGGTTTATTCCAGTGGTGGGAATCACACTCAGTGATCCCTTATTCATGGTGAAAAACCTAAGGTGGCCCCCAAACATAGCAGGGCAGGCAGTGGGTGGAAGCTTGGAAACAATTTTCTAGAGCTGCCTAAAACCAAGGATGTTATTTCGTAGTTAAAAAAGAAAAAAAGCAAAATAAAAAAAGGATTTGAGAATTAACACTTGGCTTTCCTGAGCTCAAAGATAACCCAGGTCTCCTGGACAAGGCCCTCAGCTGAGAGGAGGAAATGCAGCAGCACATTCCCTGAATCTGCTGGGAAAAAGCCTGTGCTGTTTGAAGGAAAGGGAATCACCGGCTGAATCCATTCCCTCCCGACTTCTAAACGTGGAAATCCCTCCTCACACATTCCCATCAAAGATCTGGCTCCTGAGCTGGCACAGCAAACCCCCCCTGGATGCTCTTGCAAGGAGCAGACTTTGTTCTTGCTCTGCTCAAAGGGTTTCTCCCCCCCCCATCCTGCTGGGCAAAAAGAGCGTTTTTCGCTCTCACCCCAGGAAAGGAATCGTCCAGTTTGTTCTTCCACGGGAAGGAAAAGGAGAAGGAATACTGGACTGCAAAGGGAAGTTGTTCAGCACCTCAAGGTCCCATCTCAGAGCATCCAAACCACTGTCTCTGCCCAGGGGATGGATCTGGGACCAAAGGGAAAGAGGTCCAGGGGAACAGGGGCTGTTTGAGCCTCGCCCAGCAGGGAGGTGGCAGAGCCACGAGGAGCCAAAACACTGATTGACTGTGGGGTTGTGAGCCTTGAAGCCACTGAATCCCAGGATCCCTGAGGCTGGAAAAGCCCTCCCAGCCCATGGATCCCCCCTGTGCCCGATGCCCACCTTGTCCCCCAGCCCAGAGCACTGAGTGCCACGGTCAGGCCTTCCTGGGACACCTCCAGGGCTGGGCACTCCAAACCTCCCTGGGCAGCCCCTGCCAAGGCCTCACCACCCTTTCCAGGAGGAAATTCCTCCTGATGTCCCACCTGAGCCTCCCCTGGCACAGCCTGAAGGGATGGAACAACACCTTGACCTCAGAACGGGAGATGAGAGGGGAAAAATCGGGAACTATAAATTTTCTTTTCCTGTTTTTATAACACGTCAATATTACACCTGCAGCTGATCATGAGATTCTGCTGTAACCAAATGCATTTTGAGTGTAAATACACCTGAAACTGGATGTTTACATCTCTGCCACGGGCTCTAGAAGGTAAAAAGGGCTGAGCTTGGCAGGTGCCCACGTCTAATTTCCCATTTGCTGGAAGGCAAAAGCCTTCCCGGAGCGTGTTCCCAACTGTCTGCTGCTTGATCCACTCCTAATTGACCCAGGGAAAATCATCAAACAAATCTCCACTTATCTCAGGCTGGAAGCTCAGAGTGTGCAGGTAAATGAAGATGGAAAACAAGTCAAGGGAAACCCAAATTAACATCACTCTTCTAAGAAGGTTGGGCATGAATATGGATGATGCATTAGGGGAGTGACTGATGGATGACCCAGAACTCATCAGAGTAATGGCTTTCCTTGAGTAATGGAAGTTCCTCTTTCAAAATGAAACATGAGAGTCACTTAAATGCCTTTCAGACACACCCCCCCAAAAAAAACCTCTTGGCTCTTTCATTTAAGCACTGTTTTCTTTAGAATTTCTGTAGAATTTCTTTAGAATTTCTGTAGAATTTCTTAAGAGTTTCTGTAGAATTTCTTAAGAGTTTCTGTAGAATTTCTTAAGTGTTTCTGTAGAATTTCTGTAGAATTTCTGTAGAATTTCTGTAGAATTTCTGTAGAATTTCTGTAGAATTTCTGTAGAATTTCTGTAGAATTTCTGTAGAATGTCAAAAGGAAAAATAAATCTTCCTGCTTTCAACGTGGTGACCCTTTAATCAAAATAAATACTTCAAATTTCTGTCCCTGTGAATCCCTTGGCTTTGCTGTCCTTGCTTTGTCAGTGGTCAGCAGGTATTTCCTCAGGGGGGAGGAAGGGTCCTGCTGCACCTGAACATGGAGAGGTTGGAGATAAGGCAGGTTCCACTCCCGAGGGCAGAGGTGGAAAACAGGCTCAGCCAAAGGAGCTGGGATATTGGAAAACCCAGTTACTGCTCTGGGGGACATTGCTCTGCTTAGCCAGATGTTCTGGGAGCTTGTGGGCTCACAAAGGATGAAGGAATAATGGGATTGAGCCCTGCAGCCAGCTCGGGGTCCCAAAATAGCACAGAAGTGGAGCTGCTGGAGGAGTCCAGAGGAGGCCACAGAGATGCTCCAAGGGTGGAGCCAGGCTGGGAGAGCTGGGGGGGTTCCCCTGGAGGGGAGAGCTGAGAGCCCCTGGCAGGGCCTAAAGGGGCTCCAGGAGAGCTGGAGAGGGACTGGGGACAAGGCATGGAGGGACAGGACACAGGGAATGGCTTCCCACTGCCAGAGTTAGATGGGATATTGGGAAGGAATTCCCGGCTGGGAGGGTGGGGAGGCCCTGGAATAGAATTCCCAGAGGAGCTGTGGCTGCCTCTGGATCCCTGCAAGTGTCCAAGGCCAGGTTGGAGCAACCTGGGCCACTGGAAGGTGTCCCTGCCCATGGCAGGGGTGGGACTGGATGGGCTTTGAGGTCCCTTCCAACCCAAACCATTCTGGGATTCCATGATTATCCCTGCTGAAGTGTCTCCTGCCTTTTCCATGCTCCTCTCCCAACCTTCTCCTGAATCCTTTGGTCTAAACTCTTCAAAATCAGGCTGGAAGGCACAAAAAAGGCTCCATGTTGTTGTCACTCCTCATGAAGTAAAATTGCCGTTGTGAAGGGAACTTTGCCAAAGAATTCACCAAAAAGGAAGGGAAATGGCATCTGAGGTCACTTTTTCTGCTCAGGTTTCAAAAGCAGGCCCACAAAATCAACCCCATCAGGGTTTATGTTTCATTGTATTGCATTTGCTGTTTGATGGTCTGGTAACACTTTAATAGTCTTCGATGAGCATTTAATTTAGATTTAATAGGGCAGCTTCTCTGTTGTAATTAAATATCAATTGATTGTTCAAAGAGCACTTGCTAGATTTAATATCTAAGAGATAAACCTGGTTGGCTGTGTAATTAACTCCAAACACAACAATAAAAGCGCAATTAAATTTCTAGAACACAGAAACTTGTAAAAAAGTTTATCAACTCGGTGGACATGAGGGGAATTAAAGGAAAATGATGTTAAAATTGGGCTCTAGCAGTGATCCTGAGAGCTAATTAATTAGTTTGGTTAACTATTGATGATTTTGACCTTTGATGTAGAGACTCCTTTGAGGTGGAAATCAAACAATGAAAGTGGTTGTTCCCACTAGGATTGGGATCAAGGGAGAGTTTTCTTCAAACAGGTATAGGAAAAATGTCAGGCATCTAATGGAATTTTAATGCTTTTTTCCTGCATTAATAGTTACTGTTTATCCTATCTGCACTTAAATATTCAGCCTTTTCAATATTTAACTTTAGAAATAGGTAATTAATTCCCACTCTGCTTTTCTTTTATTTGCCTTTGTCGTTTTTCCTGCAGATTTTTTTTTCCACAGGGTGACTTAAAGGTGGAGCACCCACAAAAATCAGCCCTTGCCAAGGCCTGACCACCCTTTCCATGAAAAAATTCCTCCTGAAAACATCCTATAACCACTCAACCCACACAAAGGCAGAGCTTTTTTGTCCTAAATCGCTTTTTAGGATCAACTGTGCAATGTAAATCTGGATTGAAGCCAGGCACTTCCCCGGCACTACTTCCAGTTAGATTGGATTTTTAGGCTGTGCTTGGATATCTCATTTCTCCCCCAAATTAGCCCCGACCTCCTGGAACTCCCGGGCTCCAATTTCCCACTATGCAAATCTCACCAAAAGCAGCAAAAGCTTAAAGGCTTTGCAGCCGAGCACCAGAGGGATCCAGCCCTCCGGAGAATTAATGGGAAAACCTCCCGTTGACTTTTCCAGGCATTAAGAGCAGACCCCGGGCTGACTTTCTAATCCACAGAGGGGAAAATAATTGAGATTTCCAGCAAATTGGCTCGGTGGTGTTTGAACACTCTCCGTGTTTCTGCTGGGAAACACCCGGCGTGGGTTTTTATCCCAAAGATAAAACTGCTTCCATAAAAATACACCTGGTTAAAATGCTTCTTGGAGAAGGTCCCATCCCTGAAAGATGCATTTGCTGAGGATATTTCAGCCCAGATTTTCTCGTTTGCCATCACCCCGTTGCCACCAGAGTGGTAATTGCTCACATCATCCCTTTCTAAGCAGGCAGGAACTTTTCCTCCTCTTCCCTTTCCTCCTGCCAAAATCCTTCCCACTCCTTCTTTAGGAGCTGTTTTTCTTCCCCCTCAACCTTTTATTCCAGCAAGGAAATAATTAAAGCCCAAACATTTCCAGCATTGGCACGACAGGAAGGATATAAAGCAACAACTGAGCATCCAGAGAGTAAAACAATTCAGGTTTTTGTGTGACTCACCCAGAGCTCCTTTTTCCCAGGAACCAACCACAGTCATCCCTCTCTTCCTGCAATTCCAGCTCAGCTGTGGGGAAACTTTAATGGCTGGAGCTGTGTCAGGGGAGGGTCAGGCTGGAAATCAGGGAAAGGCTCTTCCCCCAGATGGTGGCTGGGTTGGACTGGATGGTCCTTGTGGGTCCATTCCAACTCAGGATATTCCATGATTCCATGATTCCATGAAAAGCAAGGTGCTGGCCCTTTCCTCCTGCAGAAAGGAAGGACACAGGAATTTTTTAAAATGCAGTAACTGGGTGTTCAACCTGAAATTTCAGCAAGAGAAGGAGATGAAAACCCTAAATTTCAGAATTCCTGCAGGAATGCAACTGCTCTGCCTTCACGGTAGATTTGTGCTCATACAGGAAATCGGTTCTGCAGCAGCTTTTGCTTATTTTATTTATCACAACTGGCATCCTAATTAGCACTAATTGCCACTTATTGGCATCCCTGCCTGTGGCAGGGGGGTTGGAACAAGATGGTCTTTAAGGTCCCTTCCAACCCAAACCAGTCTGGGATTTTACAAGAAGGAAAAACAAGGAGAACTTTTCCTGACCAGATTCCAGGAAAACCCTCTTTCCCTCCCCACCTCCCAAAAAATATCATTTCCTGCCAAAATGTGTTATTTACTCCTTTGATCACATCCTTTTCTTCACTCCAACGTGTCTCCACTGCAGCATCACCCCAAACCTGCTGCGTTCTCCCTTTCCAAAGGGATGTTCCGAAATGCACGTTCGCTCCCACAGAAAATCAGAGCTGTGCAAATCAACACCATAGAATCACAGAATCACAGAATCATAGAATCTTAGAATGAGAGAATCACAGAATCCCAGAATCAGCTGGGTTGGAAGGGACCTCCGAGATCATCCAGTCCAACCCTTGATCCAACCCCGCCGTGGTTCCCAGCCCATGGCACTGATGCCACATCCAGTCTGTCCTTAAACACCTCCAGGGAC